ACATCTGTCCCAGAGCAGCTGAAATCAGACCGATGCTAGATGGATGATTAAAACTTCCAAGAGATTTTAGAGGTCTCATGGCATCACCATGCAAAGGAGCCTAATTTCCTTCCCTTAAAAGTGTTTGCTTTCCTGTCACTGGTCCTCCTACAGATATCACAGAAATATTTTATCTAAAGTTGCTTGATCTAGGTTTCACTGATAGATAGGTTTTGCTAATCAAAATGACAGTATCAATATTTCTGAAGAAATGACCTTGAGGATTACTAGTTACAAGAAGTAAATACATCTTCATTGACTGCTTTGGCTTATGAAGTGCATCTTGGCCTGCAGTTTTTTCTCTGAAATCTTCCTCATCTTCTTCATAATTCCAAAACTGTTCCTCAATCAATTTTAGTGAAAAAATCTGATCCCAAACTCATTTTCTCAGGATATCCCTCAACTTCACCTGCAAACCAGTGGAAGCAATCCAAGGAGGGCCTCCCTCAAGGTACACTCAGGAGGGCTTCATCTTCATGAAACTTAGAGCAATACAAGCACCCTCCTGGGCTTTTTGATTCAGTGCAATGAATTTGGATTTTCTTACCAAAACCCATCCAACTGTCTGTATTCAAGGGCAGCTTGCAGTGACAAGTGGGACAGTTGAAAGAAAAAGTCTTCCCAGTTATATAAGTGGAAGGCAGAACGTGATGTACACGTGACACAAGGCTGCCCATAACATGCAAAAATGCCTTCAGGCTTGTAAAATAAAACCACCATAGGAATGTTTCATCAACAGAGAAGCCAGTCAGGATATTTGGAGCAAAGGAAAAAATTTCTTCTGCCCTGAGATTAGTAGTCCAAATACTGATCAAGCAATACAGATCTTGTTATTTATCATTTAGACCACAGCTGGGCTGATTAACAAGATGGTAAGAATTGTCACTGGCCCTTCACCTCAGGAGGCCTCACTCCCCTTCAGCCTGTATAAAGTCCTCCTAAACACTAAGATCCTGTGTGCCCTCACAGCTGATTCCACAGCCGCAAATTCTGGGCACTTAGGTTAAACAAAAGTTTCCATTCAGACAAGCCTTGGACACGAGGTTTCTGTAGGCTTTGGCCAAAGTCAAATGAGAAGCCTTATGCTGATTTCCATTCTCAAACTGATGGCTCTTTTCCAGGATCAAAGTATTTTCCCACACACAGCCCATGCCTGCCATCCAAACTCAATCAGCACTTTACCTACGTAAGGATTGCACAACAACTCTGCTGGCACTAGCACTAATAAAATGGTGAGGTTACTGACTTACAATGTCCTCACAGACCAATCATCACAGTACTGGCATTGCCATTGTGTTACTTTTCTGTGTGGCAATTACCTGCCTTTTGAAAAATTATTTCATCAAATCTTAAACAAATTCCAGAGAATTAACACCCTGCTACAGCAGGAAACAAATCAGTGCAGAGGAAAGCCAAGCATCTCATACAAGGTTAGATGCTACTGCAGTCGAAATTACAGCTCAGTTATCTGAAATCCTGATCTGTGCCCTGTCCACTGATAAGCTCTGCTTGGGAAAAAAGCCACGAGGTGGCTGCATGTGCAGGAATCACCAACAGGTGCTCTCCTCACACTGGAAGCACATCTCATCCAGGTCTCCACGTGGCATTGCAGGACCTGCTCCTGCCCTGTGGCTGCTGATCAGCATGGAAGGCAAATGTCTTCACCTTTCTTCCAGCACTGCTTGCAGGAAGTGAACCTTAAGCTGAATGCAGGGTAAACACATACAAGTACTAACAATCTTTAAAACAAGACAAATATTTATCCATAACACATTGCAGATCACTTTATTTTAAACTTAAAGCTTGACAATAATTTTAACTGCACATAGCTCATGGCTACTGTCAGCAGTTTAAGTGGTTTCTGCCCTGAGAGTGAATCACAACATTTTGTCAATGCACACTTTAGTATCAATTGCATGTTACTCATAGTACATCACGTCCTCCCTGTGATAACAGACCTTATGTTTTAACTACAGATGTCATTTCATACAGGACCATAAACTGCTTTATGCAAATCAGCATTTCTTTTGACTTTTTCTTATCTCATTAGCTACGAAACATGAACTGTAGTTCAAGTTGTGTCAGATTGGTTAAGTGTGCTCATTAAGTGTGTTTAAGTGCTGCCACAAGAAAACACAAAGTTATTAATAAAGCTGTAGCATTCAGTTTGAAAAGGTTTTTGAGCTAAACTATATTTTTTGTTCTGTTTTTCCCCAGTGCCTTAACACTATGTGGCTGGGACCTCCATGACCATCACACACAGTAAGTAGTAGTAATGGACAGACTATCACTAACAAAAGGATAATCTCAGTATAGACTGAAAATATAATCAGTTCTGTTCTTGAACAGATGCCTTGATTGCTATAACAGGACCAGATTTGCATGACTAATTGCCAGGTGCACACAGCAGCCACATGCCTTCCTCACTGACAGACATCACCAGTGTGAGGAAGTTTGCTTTATCTGCCTCTGCTCCCAGGTAAACCCCAGCCAGAACAGCATGGCCACCACACAGATATTACTGGCATTATGGCAGAATTCAGTAACTCAGACTTGGGTGAAGAGGATATTGGCTGTGGGACTCCATTTCTTGGGGGAAAGATCCCTGCCTCCACGAGCAGCTGAGCAGCAGCATCACTGCTCCACCAAGTCAGCCACAGCTGGAAACTGGACTGCACCACCCAGCTCTCCATACCACAAATGCTGTGCACTCCTATCACCTGCAGGAGCTGAGCTCATTGCACTGATAGGCTTAAGACCAGATTCTATTGAAAAACTATTTTTACATTTTTTACAGACCTCTTGTGGCACTTCAATCACCTGAAGAAAAAACTGATTACTTCTTCTTCTCCCCAGTAATCTCCACTGCTGTCTCAGTTTTCAGGGTGTCAGTATTGAGAGGGCATGGTCTGCTTTGCATTTAGAATATCATAGATCTTGAATGCCACCATAATACCTTCCACAAGGGCAGAATCTTCTGATGCTTAAATGAATCATCTTGATACTAAAAAGGTACTAGTACTACTTTTTTTTCCCCCCAAGTTATATTGACAGAAAAAAACATGGCAATATTTAATTGTGTTCTTCAGAACATTTCACCTGCCTAGATTGGCTCTTGATAATCCAATTCACTATTGCATAATAAATTTATAAGTCTGTTAACTACAGTCCTGACAGAGATAATGGCCAATGATTGCTTATAAATCCTTAGCTGCACTGTTTCTTCTAAAGCCTCTGGTTTGTACTATGTTCTTAATAAAATCATAGTACAGCAATGGTATGATGAAATAAAGATCACCTGTGATTTGTTTTTAGTAGCCTAAATTAGCTTAACTGTGTAATGATTTATTTGGAAACTACTGGCAACAAAGGCAAATCCATGTCACATGCAGGTTTAATAAAAAGAATTTTCATTCAGTAATCTCTTGCCAGCCCCAAGGCACTTGCCCAAGTAGACTTGCCCAAGACACTTGCCCAAACTCAGGTAGAGTTTGCTGGAAGTTTTGCCAGAGCTGTGCAAGACATTGGAACAGACAGAAGGATGGACACCACACAGTGAGCACCTGCTCCCCACAGCCCACAGGGAACAGCACAGATCCAATTTTCCAGCTGCAGCAGATACTCTCTGCTTCCCATTGCATGCAGCAATGATGACCCCTAATGGTGGAATGTTTCTCCTGCTGAGCAATATGAAGAGATTTTGCTTTTCAATGCATATTTCTACTTAAAATAATTACAACTTCCCCTCACAGCCCAGCAGCCAAATAAACTGCTTGAGATTCACCTAGACTGTAGCACAGAAGCAGCTGCTTTGCCTGATCAATTCTTTCTGACTTTGGACAGGGAAACATTAAAATGCAAATCCATATTCCAGATCTAAGTCCAGAATTTAAAGTATCCCTTTTTTCCTGAGGGAGATTGTCTTACAGAAGCAAGTTTCAGTTACAGTGCTGTGAATAATCCCTCCAGGAAGTCTTCAGAAAAGAGGATATTCCTTTTTCCCCTAAAACCAATCATCTTTTATATGAGCAAGCAAACAGCACACGCCCAAACAGCTTCTTTGAAGCCTTCCTTCAGCTGCTGGATAATGCTGCATACATGTGTGTGGGAGAACATTTGATATCCAGCAATCTTTTCATCAGAATCAAATAAAAGTAATTTTATTATTTCCAAAGTTATAAAATTGCATGTTATTCTAGTATTTTAAGCCACCATTTCATGTGCATATAATGTAAAGTTCTCATAGAATTTTTACATTCTGGAATTATTAAAATTGGGCTGGGATTTTTAAATCCAAGTTCATCTCAAAGCCTTTAACTCCTACTGGAAATAGAAGGTAATTTTAAATTGTGTTACAGATGCCAGATCCATAAAACTAAGTCTTGCTGCTCTCTTGGGAGAGATGAGTATCACTAGCTGTCCCATTTTAGCTTGCCTGACACTTGCATTGAGAGCAAGAGAAAGAACAAGGTAACTATTACCCAGGCCTGACCTAATTGTGTCAGTTTTTTCCAGGTAGAGATAAACACACAGCACTTAAAAGAGAAGGGTTGAGAGCCCCTGGCAGCTTACTGATTTGTTTACTTTCTTTTAACAACATTATAACACTGAAGTTGTATTAGCTTTCAGTCTACAAAGCACAAAGCCTTCACCTAAACAAAATACAAACCTAGAGATATTTCCAGAATGCTCAAGAAAAAGCACATTTTCAAACCATGATCTCTTTTTGTATGGTAATAGTAGTTAAAGTCACACAAGTAAAAAAATATATGAAGACATGTTTCAGAATTGTGTGTGGGCTAAATTGACAGTTTTGTTTGGACAGTGAGGTATGTAAAATCAGGAATTATTAAAGTTTGAGTCTGATCACTGAACTTTTCATTACCTTTATGACAGGTTTGTTTTTTTTCTCCTTCCTGAAGAGCAATAATTACTACAATTACTTCATCCTCCTGGCTTACCTTTCTCACATCTGAGCTCTTTGGTTCTGTAGTCCAAGTTATAATTCTAGATACAGCAAGTCTTGTCTCACTGGAATTCACAAAGTCTGTTGGATCCATCTGTCTTGCCAAGGACTCAATATACTTCAGGATGGCAACTTTGACCTGAGAAATGCAAAGGGATTTGTGAAGCTCAGGAGTTGGCAAAGATGCATTTTTTCCATAGGAACAGATCCCACTACATATTGACAAGACTTACATCACATGGTGGGGAAGAAGTATCCCTGGGACATGTCTCCAAGTTGCCAATACAGTTTCTATATCATGCCCATAATACAATAATTACCTTCTCATGAGTTCTATGCTTTATGACATGCCTGACATGACAAGCTAAGACAAGCACATTGATGCTTTAGTGAAATGGCTTTTGATACTGACCTTCAGGTTTGGTGTCTGGGTCTGATCTACAATAAACCTCATCAAAATGTTAAATTGCTGATCAAATGGAAAAGAATCCCTGTCCAAAGGAAACAAAAGCAAAGATGTAATGCAACATAAATGAAATTAACTCAATACCTCAAAGCTTACATTGCAGATTTCAACACACTTTTCTTCTTGGTAACTTTACCATCAATAAGAAAAACTCTAAGCTTAAGGATTAGCTAGTGATTGACAAAATACTGGAGAAAACTGCTAAATCAGCATCTTTGCACACTGTTACTCTACTGTCTGTACACTTCTGTTGGCATGCCTGTCCATTTCATTTCAGACTCTGCTTTGCTCCCTTATCTCTAGAAGCAGCTTGGTTTATCTTGTCCTTAGGTTTCATACCTGGTTTTGATCTCTCTCCTTTTTTTTCCCCACTATTTTCTCCTAGATTATGACTAGTTTTTCTTTTCTTTTTAAATTATCCTATTTCTAGAATGAGCTCATCTTTACTGTAATAGTATCCTGTGCTGGACACACTTTGCAAAAGACATGGAGTACACAGTTGGTGTGAACACTGCAGTAGCATTCAAGGTCTTATCCTGACCTGTTATTTGTGTTTGAACAACATGAAAGAGGTGCTGAACTTTGTGGTAAAGCACCATTCATATTCTGAATACTGCATTTTTTTGGGTACCTGACAATCAAAAAAACCTGGTATCTGAGCATACACCCCACAAAACGCTAAAATTAATCCATTATGTATTTTGAAATTTATGCTTTAAAGTTATTTATTTACAAGAGAGACTTTTTAATTCAATACTTAAAACACTGTGACATAACTTTTTTCTCCTTTATTCTGATATTCATCAAGATTGAGCCCTCAAAATACACAGCACTGCTGGATTTCTAAAATCACACCTTCCTGTAATCCCAAAAAAACCTCAGCAACATTTGCCATCTGAGTACTCTACCTGGTGACATCCAGAGCTTTCTGAACCTTTGCCTGCACAGACCCCAACAAATCTGCTCCCATTTTCTTTAGCAACTGGGTCAGGAGAACAAAAAGCCAATCCTGCAAGTCATCTTTATGAATGATGATGAAATCAACCAGGGTTTCCAGAAACATGCTGAAGACCTATAAAGAAAACAAGTGTCAGAAAAACAAATACAGTTCTTAAAATAAAAATATTCAAAGGGGAAGGGGGTTTACAGTCTGAGTTTCATGATGATTTTGTTATAAGAGTTTCATGAATGAATGATTTTAGTGACTACATTGCTCTGGGAAAAAAATCAGGCAAGACATGCCTACAATGTGTTGTATTAAAATACCACATGTAACAAATGAAGGAAGGAAGGGGTAGGAAACACTTACTCTCTGTTGGGAATTCCACGGCAAAGCAGGCCATGCAACAAAACAAACCACTCGTTAGCACACAGAGTGATCAAGGATGCAGTTTCTCAACAGATAAAAGACACAGTCATTCAAAGTTGACATTTTCTTAAAACACAGTCTCTTATTATATGCCTTGGATCAGATTCAGTCTCATCAGTCAAGAAAGTAACATATGTTTATATACAGTTATATGAATAAAGTTAATGTGTTTAACACCATAACTAAAGAGTTTGTATCAGTAATTCTACAGAAGCAGTGAAGATGACAGATCACTGCTGCCACAAAGGATATACTTGAGCCCAGTGTGCAGTAAACTCCCACCTTACTCAGAAATTGGAATTATTTTGCAAACAAATAATTACACCTTCGCCCTTTCTACTCCACAAACCTTGGGGAACCAAAGCTTTAAGAACTTACAGGTAGGTAAGTTGTACAAGCTTGGTGAGACCTGTGGGACAGCTGGCCCACAGTAGAATTAAGGCAAAAAATGCACAATTTGAGCAGGACCTGTGACAGGCTCCTCTGCCTGCTCATGGAATTTCCACTCAACAATCATTTATTAAAACTGGTTTACCAAGAGGTTTTGAAGTACAATGATTTATACAACTTATTCTTTCTCAAACTGCATTTAATGCAGCTGCTAATGTTTTTACACAGCCATATTGGTTTTCCTCAACTAGCAAAACTCAAAAAAGGGCATGAAATTCCATATTCCTTTTTCCGTGCTCTTTCTTAGCTGTCCATAGAAATCCACTAGTCTCGAACATGCCTATGGACCCTACATCCCCATTCTGTGGCCCACTTCTTAAAAATGTTTGTAAATTCATGCCACAACCTTTAACTTCCAAGGTCAGTGATTTAAGGAAGGCAAAGTATTAAAGACCTTGATTATGAGAATCAGAATAGTATCTTGGTGAGACACCTACTCCCAGGTGCACACAACACACAAACCCCAGGGGCTGTGATGTGGCTCATGACCCCTAGAGGACCACTCTTCCCTGTGCATCACCAGAAATACACCCTAGAGAGGTGCAAATCAAACTGAACTCCTGGCTCCAGGAGGTGACCTCTGAAAGGCACCAGGCTGCTCCTCAGGCAGCATGGAGTAACCAGCTCCTATCAACATGAGAGAGACTGAGACACATCCCCTCCTTGTAAAAAAATGCAAACCAAGGAAATTTTCAAATGCCAGTTTTCCCCAGCAGATGGCAGGGGGAATACAAGCCACTCATCTTGGAACAGTGCCAAATGTGCACACACAGTAATGTAGGAGAGTGAGCCAAGGCTTTGTGATCTTACCTTGCTGTGAGGGTCAGCAAACATGCGAGTAAATATTTCACACAGCCTTTTTAACTCCACTCGGCTAAAATACATAAATAAAACACAACATTAATGCCAACGTTTTAGTTGCAGCATAGAAAAGAAAAAGCAGCTAATAAATATTAACAGCTGAAAGATCTAACCCTCTTTATTTAAATGTTACTTCAGTCACACTTCTGAAAACTTTGTATATCTAGGCAAAGCCTTTACTGGCACTTCAGTTTAACTGCTGGGATCACCAGTTTTACATTAAGAATCTAAGAAACACTTTTTAAAAAAATCTTAAACCAGACAATTTTATTTTCTGCTGCTTTTATTTTCTTTTATATTCTGGATTACAGAAGGCAACTTGAAATGTGTATGTTTGCGAGGCACTTAGTTTCTGTCTGGGTCAAGGTTGCTGAATCACTGAATTGTGCATTTTTTTTACCTTAAACATAGGTTTTTCAAGTCTCCTTTGTGTCAAGTATTTCAAATTTTCAAGTAAAATCAGAACTTTCTGGTTATATACTAATCACATCTTTTGGGTTAAATTCCCAGTTGCTTCAGTAGTATCAGTCTAGAATTACAGATTATTAACAGATTCAGAACGGACTCCAAAGTCTGACAGCAGGCAGGCACATTGAGGAGCCAAACATATAGAAATAGAAGAGACATTAATGAATGGCCAACTATTAAATTAGAAGATAATTACATCAAGGAACAATCTAACTTCCTATTTGTAAGAGATTATTAGCTGCTCAGTAGTGCTCTTTTTATGGCAGGAGGAAAAAAGAATGATGCATGAGATACTGCGTTGGAGTCAAACGCAGAACTCTTTGGTGCCAAAGCTCTTATCTGCAATGTATTGAGAAGTCTTAGCTTTCCTGCAAAGCAAACTGGCAAAAAGGACAGAAGCTTTTCTTGTTTATGGTGCAAACAAAACCAGAGCAAGGCAGTTAGGTTACATTTCCTGCATACTACGGATGCGAATGGACATTTTTCACAATTACAATGAAACCAGAGCAACTAGTGAAATGAACACTGACTGCTCAGAGAAGAGTTACTGAAGATTTTGACTAAAGGGAATGTATTTCCAGACCAACATTAATTCTACAATCCACCAACTTCTCTCTTTCAAAAAGTAATCTTCAAACAGGCCAGAATAAGGCAGTAGTCTACAGATGCTTTATGTTACATTGTTTTTAAGAAACACAGAACTTCTTTTCCCCCAATAAATCTATGCATGAAAGGCTGATTAAATTTTAAAAGGGCACAAAACCAATGGGTTTAAGAGTCTGGGAGAGAGGGAAAAGTCTTCGTAACAACATCACAGTAAGCTGTCAGCTTAATTCAGGGTGAGGCTGCACAGGCTCAAAATGACTACAGCACTCTCCTGACATCATGCAGATTGCATGTCTCTGAATGAACCCTTGTTTATTACTCTAATGAATTTCCTTTCTGGACAAAGGTTATATAAAGTCAGCAAGTATATGCATGTCTGTTTCTAAAAGCTCACAGACCCAAGGTAACAATGCAAGCACTAAACTGCAACAGGCAGTGGAAGAACATTTCCTTAAGGGCCTCGTTTGCCTTGTTTTATTTAGGAGACCTTACAGGGAGCCCTTAAAAAAGTAGGCCACATAAAGCTCTATAAAACAAAAAGGATGGGAAAGTGCCATTCCACTTTGCATGCACATCTCTGGATATGCAAATCCCAGCTAACACAGGATCAGCCATCTTTCAGTTCAGAATACTAAAGAAAACCCAGCCACATCACCGCCTCTTATTAATGTGTTTCACCACAACAGAAGGCATCAGGTTTAATTACAAGACAGACTTGCCCCTTGGACTAATGACCTTGATGATGTTCTCAAGATGCCGTGGGAACAAGCAGGATGATAAAATCTAATCATTAGAACAGGCACCAGATCAACTCTGAACCAAGGAGGAAGCAGATCAAAAGAAAACCAAAATGAAATACAGAGAACTAATCACAGTATCAAATTTAAAAAATAACTGCACAGAGGTGTAGTTTCTGGGACAGATTTAACAATTATTCAGGATCAAAGCTAAGACAACTTGCTAGCTTGAGGGACTGGTGACAGCACAGTTCAAAAACTACAACCAGCAGGGTTGAAATCAAGAGTTTAATTCCACCAGTATTTCTGCTAAGATCTACTGACCTGGATAAACAGCCCATCACCAAAACTTCTCAGAGCTTCCTTCCTTGCAACTATCCCCAGCAGCACTCCAAACCTTGCTTATCCTCACACACTTTTGTGGCAAAATCAAAATCTCACCCAACTTTTTCATAAAAGTAATGAGGTGCCACAGTTTTTCCAGACAGTTTGTTAAAGAGAAAGAAAAAAGACAACGTACATGGTGGAAGTATCTTTTAAGAGACTCAGAAATAGACCACATCAAAAAGCATCTGTGATCTAGAGACTAACTACCCATTTTAAAAACCTGTAGCTCTTCCCATTTAAGGCCTGAATTACATCATGGGAAGTGCTAGAATATTTTTATAATGGCAAGAAACCAACTTTTTCAGGCCTGCCCTCAGCACACTTTTATTCAGGCTGTTAACATGAACCATCAAATTCTTTTCAGCCAGTGTGAAGCCCTTTTAAAATAGAAACAATTGCACAAACCCAAGTAGGGAGGCTCTAAACAACCACTTATAAACTTGGCTATAATTTAAGTACATATAATTCATAACAGAAAAATAAAATTGTCATTCACAACTATTTGTGAATGTTACCTCCAAAGAAGCCAAGAGATAAACAGCTTATTTCAAACACTTTCTCCATAAACTAAGGGTGAAATGTCTATGGCCTGAGAGCCAGTTGTCTGCTTAATGTGACCTGTGGCCATAGGGAGTTTCCAAATGACTACTGGATAATTCTGAGACCTACTGGGTAATTCTAAAACCTCTTTAAAGGCGTGATGTGCCAAAGGGTTTATGTGGTTCTCAGCAAGGGAAAAAGGTCTCCCTCTCCTACCATATGCAGTTTCAGAGCTGGTACACATACTTCACAGCCCTAAGAAACTTCCCTCTACATTACACACTATGTCATTTATACAACACAAGTTTCTGATATAAAATTTTTCAAGAGTTACAAACAGGATCTATAATTACACCTAACACAGCCTTCATAAAGAGTCAAAGTACAGCCAGCACCAGCACTGTCTGATCTCAGCTTTGAAACACACACCCCGAGTCATTTTAGAGTAAGTGCAGTGTTTGCTTCACCAACTAAATTGCCATGGGAAAAAATATTGAGGGTTCAAACAGGCTAATGTAAAAATGGCACCACCCTTGGAGTATGTTAACAACAGCACCACTGTGGGAAATTTCACTGTGCTACAACAACACCTATCACTGGAGGTCTTCATGAGACAAATGAAGGCTAGGAGAAGACAGCATGCTGACCTGAGCCCCTTCTACACTACTGCCACCAATTATTCTGACGACACAGCAGAAACCTTAAGTGCAATCCCACATTGTGGAGACAAAGCCTTCACATGGAAGACACTACCTGTCTCCATAAGGCAGGTACATAATACTGCCTTCTGTCTGCAGTCATTCCTAATGAATTACTGACACCAGAAAACTATGAAGTCACCTCAGTGTCCTCTGGCTCTTCAGTAGATTCTGAAGGCCTATGAGCCCCTCTTTCCTTTCAGACCAGTTGGAGCTGGCGCAGTGGTTGAGGACCTCAGCCACATCTTCGGTCTGGCGCAGGTAGTGCGGAATGCCCCCGTTCCTGGAGCCGTAGGAGCGCTCCGAGCAGGCGCTGGAAGCGTCGCTGTTGGCATCGTCATCCGAGTACATCCCATAGGGCTCATACCTCCTCCTCACTGGCTTCTTCTGGAAAAGGGGAAACTCACAGTTATCAACTTATTTATAGTTACATTGATGCCAAAAGCAAAACATTCTATTTGCAATCACTAAAAAGGAGATTAGTGCTACTGTGATAGTGACTGAAGTGTTTTAAAGATGTCACCATGCATTGCCTGCTTACCTCTCACAGCAGTGCAAGAAGGAGCCCACTGATTTCAGTGAGACTGAGTGACTCAGGGGAAGAGAGCCTGCCTTCCCCAGCATGAAAATGATGTATTTATGTCCAGTAAAATTAAGTTACTGGTAATGAAATTAAATACAATACATGTTCTATTGGCAATAACGGTCAGTTCCATTGTTGCAGATACTATGACAATACAACTTCTACTTTAAAAAAAATAAAGATAAGGAAGAAATAGCTGAAAGAATCTGTGCTGGCATGCCCAGTCACTTTGATATCAATACTGAAGTGACTCTAGAAATGCACTGGATATGGGAGATGGCAATTTCTCTGTTAGTCTGGGCTAGGATTCTTTCCAGAGGCTGCTAAGGGAGTTGAGTACTCAAATCCCACTCATTTCCATAGCATGGCATTAGAGGACCTAATTCCCTTAGGTACATCTTTGACTGCCTTGATCCTTACAGAAAGAATAGTAGCATAATTGGCAGCAAAAAAACCCTCTTAAATAAACCTTAAAAAAACGGTGTTGACAACATAATGTATCAAAAAAAAAAAAATCATCTATATTCTCAAGTGTTTGCTACAGAATTCCTTCCAGTGTCCAGTCCTGCAGGTCTTGGACTTATGAGCCAGCAGAGTTTTGCTTCCACTAGGACTGGAGGATTGAAGCATAGAAATTAACTCACGTGCAGTATCATGGGCGTTAGCAACAGGGTGGGGAGAGTTGGAAAGTAGAAATAAAAAGTCAAGAAAGCACTAGTACCTTGCTCCTGGAGTCTCCTAACAGCTGTAGGCAGGAAAATATTGAAGGGTGGGAAAAAGCATAGAGAATTATGTCAGAAGCTTATGTAGGGTTTGTTTTTGCAACAAAAACGTATAGCAAATGTGTCTAAGCAAATTAAAAAAAAATACAGTTTTTGCAAAATAAAAGTGGGTATAATAATGCCTGACTTTATCTCCTAACTGATGCACTACTCATACTGGCTACTATTTCCTTTAGGGATCTCGGAAGTGAGAATATCTGTTAAAACTTTTTAGGAGCAGATCTATACTCAGCACCACTTTTCTTACTTTTAAGAAATCTACAATGAAAAATACCAGAGATTTTGGTAGTGATTTCTCTTTCCCCACATATTACTAGCAGCGTTTCATTTTAGAGTCTTGCAGAGAAATCCTGATGTGAGGAAGTTGCTATCTACAGTACAGCACACTTAATCAACTTCACTTGCCAAGTTCTCTTTCAACCCACAGTTCTTACACCACACTGTTTTGAAGATTAGCTTCTTTTAAGACCCCCTGGTTGGCACCACTGGCTTAAAGGCCTTACTTAACAGCAAAGTTTCCATCACCCTTTGAGCTCTTCTGACAGACCCAAGCAATGATTCCCAGTATTGACACTGTGGGTTTAGGCCAAGTCCAGCTCAAACAGAAGTAGTGGATCCAACAGTAATTGTACAGAGGGAGAAGAGGTCACAGAATGACCCACCATGTTTTGTTCCAATTGAGGATTTGGCTGAAGCCATCTTTGGAGAAGTTCTTTTCATTTCTTACTACATGGAAAAGACAACTCTCTGAAAACAAGGTTACTGGGTAAAAGCTGGCATCACAACAGTCTCTCAAAAGGAGCCTGCACAGGCTTTGTAAGTTGCCTGTTGTCAGAAGGCAATGAAGAGAAAACTGGGGTGGTGGGAAAGAAGGGATTAACAAGATTGTGTTGCATCTCCTGAAGCTGTACAAATTCAGATTGATCAACCAAGTCAGCAGCACCAGCTAGTTTCCTGCTAGACTTAAGTATTTCCCTTTTAAGTGCTCAACCCTTCAAAATTTTAACATTTCAGTTTAATGTTACTTAACATCAAAGCTGGAATATTTAAAAGAGTACTCCAAGTCTTGCTGAAGATTAAGTCACACCCAAAGAAATCTCAGGGCTCAGCAGTCAATTGAAATACTGTGACACTCTCCTCCCTTAGAAACCTGTATTCAGCAGCTGCTCACATGCAAGGATAAAGGCTGATTTCATTTACACAGGCAAACCATTGTCTGTAATTATGTCCTGAACTGCTCTGGTAGCAAATTTGAAGTGCTGAGAGCAGAAATGGGCTCACAAGCTATTACATTTGGTGATGAAAATGCTCACTAGTGATTCAAACCACTACATGCAATAGTCCCATCCATTATACACTGCTTTACCTTTCTTTGTTCACAAGTACTTTCTTTGTTTTGAAAGATAAATTTTGTAAAAAGGGCCACTTTTCTGGAAGTGCTCTAATAGGTGCCATGAGCTGGGTGATAATCAGACATAAAAAGGAAAATGTTGGCCCTCCTTGGGGAAAGTGAATTAGGAAATGTAGAAAGGCCATCTGTCACAAACACTGGCAACATGGTTCATCTTCCTTAATGTGCATCTGAGACAGATTCTGAGAGATCTGTTTCAAGATACATCAGGAAATCCTTCCCTCATTCAGGTCTACAGCTGGAGAAGACCAGTGGGTACCCAGCTAGCACTGTACAATAATTTCTCCTGCCTCTACACATCCTCACTCCCCCAAATATTCGAGGTACATACAAAGGCTTATCATGTGCCTTCTGAAAAGAAGAAGACATTTTCTGGGTTCTATCCAAGAGATACCACAGTACAATAAGATTATACAAGACAGCAACATTTTTTAAAATGACAAAATTTACTAGGAAAAGCAGTGAATGCTTGAAAGTATTAGCAGCAAACCAGACAAATACTATTCAACTTACACTATAACAGCATGAGATGGTACAGATTCCATGCAAGCCAAGTTATGAGCTCTCTGTGTATCTACCCAGGTGCAAATAACACAGGGCAGAAACTTGCTCTTGCTAAAACCTGATCAGGAATTGACACTAACAGAGAATGCTGTTTTTCTGACAAAATCTTCATGCAGGTAATAGGACTGATGGAAATCTCTGACCCCCTGAGTGCTGAGCACCCTCACAGTGCTGGGCACATCCTCTGACAGCCAAGTGAAAGGCAAACAGCTGATTCAACCCATCCTGCAGCTGTAGTACCAACCCACAGCACTCTGTCTGACGACAGCTGCAGAGAAGTGACATGGAATCAGCAAAAACATACTGCTGCCAGTATACCCAATGTCAAACCAGCAAAAGGTAACTCTACAGCATCAGACACTGGCACAATCAGGATAAAGCTACTTAGAAAGAGGAGAACATACGTACAGGTAACTTTAAGCCACTTTCCGGAGTTGGAAGCATTTTGTATTTTTCCTCTTACCAGTGCATCGGCCACAGCAGCCTCCAGATCTGTGCTGGTGCTCAGGACTCGCATGGCATTCACAGAAGCAGGCATCCTGCCTGGCTGTCCGAGCCCAAACCGGTCTGCACAAAAGACAACAGTGAAAGGGATTGTTAAATGATTCACATTCACTTGGAATCCTAATCAGGTGCCCCAGTAGTTCTCCCCACAGACTCTGGGAACTCACAGTGCTTTTTCCATTAAATGCCCTTTTACCCAGAGCTCCACAGAGTCTGCCATTAGGGTAAGAAATAAACTATTGCCTGTTGGGCGTTGGAGGCAATTTTGGATCCTCAGGGCAACTTTTCATTTATTTATTTTAAGATGGGAAGCAGGGTATTTATTTTCTGTTTCTTTTTACTCAGTTGTCTCAAACTTTTATTTTAATGTCAGAGGCAGACAGGTCCATCCCAATCTGGCACTCTCAAAAATCAAGAGAGCTTCTCATTAACTTCAGAGAGACAGAACCATGCCCAGTGTCAGAACATGAAAATACTCGAGCACTCATCTATCCTGCAGCCTTTTCTCTCAGGCAAGGATGTGAGACTAGCAGCACCAGATTAGTCTATTTTATGTCTCAAGGCTTGATTAACCAGTAGAATATACCCCTACACCTTCACAGTATAAAAATTCAGTTAACAACTCACTTGTGAAGTGACTCCAATTTCTGGTTCTCTTGAGAAGAAGTTTAAATTCCAGAGCTCTATCAAAACTGGTTTTGAGCAGACAATATAATCTTTTTTCCCTTTGAATTTGATGGCAAAGCTCGCAATGGCATCCAAAGCAATGGCATTGAGTTTAAAGTGCCATTTACACTCCTAACATTAATTAATTTACTATCATCTGCCCAGTTTACCAAAAAAGTTACTGAAACTAGGGGTTTTTTTTAGCAAAGACAAATTCAGAAAAGCCCACTAGCAGAGCTATGACAGAATCAGTAACTTAAGTATCACAGGCCAGGTTCTGGCAGCCGAGTCCTTCTGGAGCAGGGGGGGGAAATCAGATACCAAATACTGGGATCCTGGCTCTGGTCCATAAGCAGAAAGATTGGTTATGACATTCCAAGTTTTTCTTCCTGTTGTTTGCTCATGGAGGACTCAGACCATCCCTCCTGGAACATATGTTACACCTCTGTCCCTGTGCCCACACATGCCAACAGGAGTTTTGCCAGCAAATTCAGTGGTGCACGGATCAAGCTGCAGGAGCCCATTTAAGAGACCTTCAGCTGATGCACATCAAGCAGCAGGAGAGTGGGGTCAAGTCACACAGGTCTTTTAATACTTCATCTATAATTAATTTAACAGTGGAGAAATACTGCTTATCAAACTGCTGAACCATATTGTGGATTTGCTCAAAAGTGAGGCCAAACATGGTATTCAGCAGCTTAATGTGTTTTTGGGGAAAATACTGCATATCAAAAATTTCATTGCTTTTTCCTTTATGAACCTGCTGCAATGAAATATCTTTTAGGGATTAGCTCACACTGACATGCATAATTTATATCAGAGATTGAAGCTGGCCAGTTCTACTGTCCTAATTACAAAGCTTTATTCGAGATTAAGCTACTGCGGGGATATAGGGAAGATTTTTAAAGTTCAAAGTATTATGAAAAGAAAAAAACCCTGCAGACTAATATTTATTTCCAACAGAAGTGATACCTATCAAAATTTACTGTTTCTTAGAGTTACGTACCCAGACAAGACATTTCTGATTTACAACAAAAGCACATTTTCTACAAAACACGTTACAAGGGAAAAAAAAAAGAAACAAATTTCTTAGAACTACTGCCAAAAAGTAATCAAATCATGACATTTCACGAAGAAATAAAAGTTGTATGTGTTATTACTATCCCCTTTTTTAATGCACTTCGGTCAAAGAATAATTTCAAATATGAAGATGAAACAGTGCTTTATTCCTAAAATGGAAAAGTCTGTGCACACTTAACAGAAGCACAGAGATGACAATGCAGTAGGTCTGACTGAAACTAAAGACACCACTACAGAGATATACACACTATAAAGTTGTACAGAGGACAAGGATTTTCCTAAGTATAAATGAGATCTGGTACAGTACAAGGGCTACAACTGTTAAGTTCTGGACTTGGTTTTATATTTAAATCCAAACCAATTACATTACTCAAGTGTTACTGAGATCAAAATTTGGCTTTAACTTTTGAAACTACATAGCATGAAAAATACCAGTCATTTGTTTTTGAATAAATTTAGTGTTACATTAGAAAAGGGAAGATAGTTGGTTGGGGTTTTTATTAAAATGAAGAACAAAATGACAAAGTAATTCAATTGTAGATCAGTTTAAATACCCAGCATAAAGAAATAAAATTGAGCTTTTTTAACACATTAAGTACAGTGTGGCATGCTGGCTTCTATCTCCATGGCTATCAGGAATCTTCTGTACTACTTTGTTCAGTGTTTTTGAATTTACAACACCCAAGTAACTACTCCAGGTTTCTTCCCCCTGACACTGCTGCCATCCTGGAGTGCTGAAATAAGAGCACAGGAGAGACCTCAATGTATCTCTGATGTGGGGCTGGGAATACACCTGGCTCCAGGAATAACCAGCACAGTCAAGCCCAAGGTTACTGGGCAAGAAATCTGCAGATGATGCTCTGGCCACATTCCCTCATCTCCCTGGCTAGATTAATTCATTATACTTGTTACAAACTTGGTGAAAATTTGCAACCATCATTATTAATCGTATTTTGCCATTTTTTAGAATATTTTGGCCTTCTATAGCACACAGGTAACCATAAAAAATTTGATTATGCTTTGTACCAATCCACAGGAGCCAAACATGAAGTGACTATCACAGGAAGTCAAAAGCAAACAAAGCTTAAATCTGTATTACATCTGAGCTATTTCAAATATTTTTAATTATTTTGGTTAAATACAAATTCAAATTGTTATCTGAAAAATGCCAGTCAAATTAGCTTGCATAACTTCTGTTGAGTAACATGATAAGGGAAATGTTTTGAGAATTTTAATTAAGTGACAGCCATTTAACTAGACTCATGAGAAACACAGTATTTTTCACTCCCTATCTGAAGGGTGTTAATTAAATAACTTTCAGTATAACAAATTCCTTATAAGATTTTAGCCTCCAAGAAAACACTGAAGCCCTCATCTTCTACATTTTCTTTGTCCCCACAATTAAATCCCTGTTGTCCCAAAGCTAGCACTCATTCAATTATTTTAAGATTCCCAGTAAAATATCCTTATTTCAAAAGGAATTATGGGTTCTCCATAACTGCAAATCCAGTACAGGAGTGGGACAGAAGTAACTGGAATCTGCAGATTTTTCTCATGATATGCTACCATCAGTCACATTATGCAAAGTGAAATTAAGAGATTTTTTTTTTCTTTCAAAAACTTCCATGTACTTTAGACAAGGCCTTGAAAAGTATATGAAGGATGGATCAGCATGTGTTATGCTCCAAAGTTCATTCTGAAAGCTCATCAGGTGCTTATTTTTTGCTGCTTTTGAGTATTTTGGAGAGGATTCCACAAAGAACTTTCATTAATAGAGACAGGAGTCCAGAATATTTAGTAATAATGGGATAAAACCCATTGGGATCCTGTCCTAGGCACTGGAAAGTGCTACACTGTTAAAGAGGAAAAAGAATCTGCAAGTACTCTGCATCAGTCAGGATTTAGCCCATGCTGCACAACTGATCCAATTTACAGGAGAATTGAGAAAGCCCTGGATCACCCTTTGTTTAAACACTGTTCACAATGTTCCTAAAATGCACAAAATTAAAAACATCCAATAAATGAAACTCAAAACAAAAAGCCACGTTGAACAAAAGCAGAACAGAAAGCCCGGCAGCGGTGAGAAGCACATGCCAAGTGCTGGCTGATGCACACGATGGCAAATGTTAAGATGGTGTAAAACAAGACTACGATTAAGAAGCGGATTCATGCAGTTAGCGCTTGTTCACCTGACTGCCCAACAGAATCAGCAGTGGAGAGAGCACTAGTGGACCTGGAATGACGTCGAGAAGCTGCAAGTAGAAGGAATGGCAACACCCACAGGATTAACACACATTGAACCCGAGACAGAAAATGCCACAATCCAAAGGGGATGCGTGTGAGCGCCACCGGCAGAGGTGTTTCATAGTGACAGGGAATGGCGCCGCGCGTGGATGCGGAACAGCGACAGTGCGAGCCCCGCCGCCGCCTGCAGCTCCCCCCTTCCCCATGGCCATTAACACGATGCATGACAGAACTCATCTGGAACAGTCCCAAACTGGGTGCAGCTCAGCAAAAACACCCCGATGCACATCAGTCACGTTCCAGACCTGCAGGTCTGGCAGGCGGCCGTCATGAGAACGTGGAGCACGTAACTACAGAGAAGGGTTTAGATGTGTCTGATCTAAACCCCAAAGTGAAGCCATGAGGAATGGTTACGAATTGTGCTTGCAGGTATTTTTCCACAACGTTCTAGCCTATGCATAATAAAATCAACGTTAACAAAGAGAATGCGTAACCACATAAGTAGGAAGAGTCATACAGGGAGGTCACCAACCACTGCACAGGTCCTCGGGTTGGTTTCTTTTCCAGGTAAACACACGTAGACACATATTCAAGTGTTGCTACTTCCAAAGGTCCCTTGCTTTTAACAAATTTTGCATACATGTTTCTTGAACTTTAGTATGTACATGCAGAGCTAAGGAGAATATGCACATCACACGCCCATCTAGAATGACACATGTATACAAATTGTTAAAAGCAATGGAGTGCACATAGTAGCAGAGGAGCCTAAGCCAAATATAGCTCCCACTTCAATTCCCAGTTGTTAGCAGCACATCAATCAAAAAATGCCTTTGGAGAGGTTTTCAGTTCTTGGCTTCAGCATACAAGTGAGTTCTTTATGAAAGCAAATGAAGAACGGGCCCAGTCATTCCCAAATTACACAAATTTAGTCTTTCTAAAGAAGTTTTCCCTATGTCTAGCAAAGGACATGCTCACCAGCTCAAAGCAACTGACCCAAGAAACCGATTGTTCATTTAAGCAATTCATCACCACAGACTCACTGAAGGCCTTGGTGCTTTAACATCACAACTAGT